TTTTTTTTGTCCGTGGGCCGCTGCACCCAGGGCGCCTAAATCGGCGCCCCCTGGCGCAACTGCGCGTCCGAAGAAACTCTGAACCGATTCGGGGGTTTAGGGTTTAGGGTTTAGGGTTTAGGGTTTAGGGTTTAGGGTTGAGGGTTGAGGGTTGAGGGTTGAGGGTTTAGGGTTTCGCATCCGGATTGCGGTCTTAACCGTGGCCTAGAGCTGGAGAGTAGGCTTTTCGGGGCTGGGGTTTAGGGATTTGTTCCTTAGAAGAGAATTGGCCTCCGCAAGCCCCCACGTCGCCAAGGCTGTTGATCTCTTTGTGGTTGGAGGGTGTCTTACAGGTGGCGTCTCAGCCCTAGGGTTTAGGGTTTAGGGTCTGGGTTTAGGGTTTAGGGTTTCGGGTTAGGGTTATAAACCTCCAGGGCTCAGGGTTTATAGAGTTTTCAGAAGCTGGGCTGGTGTTGGTGTGTGGTGTTGGCGTGTGGGGTTCAGGGTTTAGGGTTTAGGGTTCCGGGCTTAGTATTGCGAAACTACGGGATGCTCGTCTTGGTACTGCCCACTAAGCTGCAGGAAAAGTAAAGCTGCATCTCTACAGGGAGTGCTCCTTCTCCAAGACCCTGTAGAGCCCGAACTCTAAAAACACCGACAAGGATAGAGCACCTGGAAAAAAAAGACCTGACATGTTGCGCACATGTGTATAGGTTTCTGTATCAGTGTCCCATGTCCTGAGTCCTCCATAATACGGCGCCCTCATAATACGGATTTGCCCAAAGGGGACCCTAACTTGGACAACTACCTAAAGATTTTGAAAGCTTCCAGAATTCTCCAAATCAGCCCCGCGAAGTTGGCCCAAGGTACGCCCTGCACCCTAAACAGCCCTACACCCCACCCCCAAACCCTAAACCCTAACCCTAAACCCTAAATCCTAAACCCTAAACCCTAAACCCTAAACACTCCACAGCCTCGGAGATGCAGATGGGGGTGGGTGGGAGATGGAATGCTCGGCACTTTGAAAAGGACGCTGCCGCGCCGCGTGCCGACTCGGGATCATGCGTCGATGCCGTCCCTTAGGAGCTCGGAAGACCGAAGCCTAGGGTTTAGGGTTTAGGGTTTGGGGTTTGGGGTTTAGGGTTTAGGGTTTAGGGTTGAGGGTTTAGGGTTTAGGGTTTAGGGTTTAGGGTTCAGGCTTCAGGGTTCAGGGTTTAGGGTTTGGGGTTCGGGGTCCAGGGTTCGGGGTCCAGGGTTCGGGGCTCGGGGTTTGGACTCGTACCCCTAAGATACCCCCCTAAGGTTCCCTTGATGTACTCCTACTGTGGCCATCATGTTGCCTTAAGAACCTTCAACAAGGGTCCGCCAGACGCAAGGGTGCCACCAGACTCTCTTGCAGGGAGGTGCAGCAGTTTAGGGTCAGGGAGAGGAAGGGCGGTATCCTGAACTCTACAACCCTAAATCAACCCCTAAACTCCAGACTCCCAAACCTTGAGCCCTTACGTCTCAGAAACCTCGTCACTAGTTGGTCGCAGCGCAGCAGGCAGCTTGTGTGCTGAGGGCAAGGCCAACCGTGCCCAAGGTATCCCCCAAGAACCCAAGGCTCTATGTGCTTTATTGGGCTTTGGTATAGCCTTGTACGGTCTAATGAAAATTCTTCAATTGCAGGTTATTTTGGAAGGTCTGGGCACGCTGGGCACGGACGGTCTCAACGGAGAAAGGGGAAAAGGTCCATGAACGGCATCCGGAACCCTTAAACCCTAAACCCGATACATTAAACCCTTAAACACCAAAACCGTGAGCCCTAAACCCCAAACCCTAAACCCTAATCCGAAGGCCTAAGACGAACCCTCTGAACCCTGAGGCAGCGCGGGTGGTTTTACTTCATCTCTAGCTGCTGCTCAGAAGAACCCGGCACAAGCCCCAAACCCGGATACTCTCCCTAACCCCTAAATCCTAAACATTGGGCCCGTTGGGTTTTCTGTAGCCCCTAATCCCGAGAAACCGTATATCGAAGGGTAGTTGCATGTTTAGTTCGGGTTTAGGGTTTAGTGTTTAGGGTCTAGGGTAGTTACATGGTCCCGTAGTATAGCCCCTTATATACCCTTTACACCCCACGGGCTCATACTTCAGAACCCTTCGAAGGAGGTAAGGGACCATATTAAGGGCCCATGTAACTTGGACAAAAAGCCCTAAACCCTAAACCCTAAACCCTAAACCCTAAACCCTAAACCCCAAACCCTAAACCCTAAACCCTAAACCCTATTAAACCCCTAAACCGGCCACTCCTTCCAAGACCCATGAGCCGCACCACACTTTGCACCTTGAGCGCATGGCACCCCAAAGCCCCGAAAAAAAACAAAACCCTAAACCCTAAACCCTAAACCCGAAACCCTAAACCCTAAACCCTAAACCACAACTGGTTTCAGTTATGGTTCTAGGGGTGCAGGTTTAACTTTAGGGTTGAGGGTTTAGGGCTTTGTGAGGACGATTCTGGGGCCATTTTAGGGTTTTTGGGTATGTAGGGTTTAGGGTTTAGGGTTTAGGGTTTAGGGTTGAGGGTTGAGGGTTGAGGGTTTAGGGTCTAGGGTTTTGGGCTTTGGGCGTTTATGGACTGAGCGGCCAACAGGCGCATCACTCAGTCTTCCCACCTGACGTGAGCAGGCGCTGCGCATGACCGTGAACGCCCTAAACAGCTGGGGCACATACATTACATAGTTTAGGTTTCAGGGTTTAGGGCTTAGAACTCAAGTCCTACGACTTGAAAACCCCCGACCCCAAACCTGAGCGCCTGAAGTCTACAACCCTAATGCCTCTACAGCTCTAAAGCCCAAAGCCCTGAAAGCCCAAGCCCTAACAACCCCAATGCCCCGAAACCCTTGAAACCACCAAAGCCTGGCCCTAAACCCTAAACCCTAAACCCTAAACCCTACACCCTAACCCTAAACCCTAAACCCTAAACCCTAAACCCTAAACCCCCCAAAGCCCTCGGCCTCAAACCTAAACCCCAAACCCCTCAAAGCCTAAACCCAAAACCCAAAAGCCTAGAGGTTCAGGGTTTAGGGTTTAGGGTTTAGGGTTTGCATGGGGTTTGGGGGCTTTGGGGTTGTGAGATTGGGTTTACTGCGGCCAACTACGAAGCCTACTTTTAGGGTTTAGGGCTTAGGGTTTAGGGTTTGGGGTTTAGGGTTTAGGGTTTTAGGGACAAGGTTTAGGGGCTGCCGAATGCGTCATGGCTTGGGCTCCCCTGGCCGCCTCCGGAAGAGCAAGCAGCTGTTGTGGCCGCCGAAACCTTGGGCCCGATGTGCGGTTTGCGGTTTGGGGTTTAGGGGTTTAGGGGTTTAGGGTTTAGGGTTTGGGGTGTGGGGCTTAGGGTTTAGGGCGTAGGGTTTAGGCGTTTAGGGTTTAGGGTTTAGGGGTTGGGGTTTAATTAGGGTTTAGGGTCGTGCTTGCAGGGTGTGCAGCGCGTCGACAAGGCTAATAACGTGCCCTGAACCCTAAACCCTAAACCCTAAACCCTAAACCCCAAACCCCACTGAGCCTCAGACCGAAACTGTTGCTGGCTGCAACCTTGAGATCTGGGAGGTCCATGGCCTGCAAGGTTGGTTCTATAGGGTTTAAGGTTTAGGGTTTAGGGTTATTCTATAGGGCTTAGGGTTTAGGGTTATTCTATAGGGTTTAAGGTTTAGGGTTTAGGGTTATTCTATAGGGCTTAGGGTTTAGGGCTTCGGTTATCGGGTTTATCGGGTTTATAGGTTCTATAGGGTTTATAGGGTTTACAGGGTTTATAGGGTTTATAGGGTTTATAGGCTTTACAAGGTTTACAGGTTTAGAGGGTTGGTAGGGGTTTAGGGTTTCTAGGGTTGATAGGGTTTATAGAGTTTTGGGCTAAGGTTGCTTTATGAGGTTTGTGATTAGGCTTGATAGAGCTTAGGGTCTAAAGGGCTTAGGGTTATAGGCTCTAGGTCAGGGCTTTCGGGATAGAGTGAATTCTCTGAGGTTTGGTCCTTTTTTAATTTTGGGGGTCCTTATGCGAAGGCGGGCCCTCTTTTTTAGGTTACCCAAAAAGGGACCCTAATTTAGAGAGCTCAACATTCCAGTTCGCAGAGGTTAGGGTTCAGGCTCCGGGGGCAAGTTGCAGTGGTAAAGTCTTAGTCATCTGCAGGCTGGCGGCTCGAGCAAAGAAACACTGTCTGACGTGTTATACGTGAGGTTTAAGGTTTGGGGTTTAGGGTTTAGGGCTTCGGGCTTTAAGGCTTATAGCACTGGAGCCTGCTTGGAGATCTCCAAACACCTGCATCTCGCTGTAGCTGCTATCCTCTTGTATCACTGTGTGCTTGCGCATCCGCTTTGGTCAGCCAAGTTCGCACACTTAAGCTTCCTCCAGGGCGAGGGTTTAAGGTTTAGGGTTTTAGGGTTTAGGGTTTAAGGTTGAGGGTTCAGGGTTCAGGGTTTAGGGTTTAGGCCGTGACTGATGCACTCAGAGTGTGCTGGAACAGGACGGGTGGGGAGCAGCAAGCGGGAGGCCACCACCTCACAGCTACTCAGCCTTTCAGCCTTCCGCTGTGTCAGGAACACCTCGAACTGCGCGATGTCGTGCTCCTCATATCTCAGACCCATCTCGTCCTAGGATGTCCCAAAAAACCACTAAAAACACATTCCTGAATTCTGATCCTCTTAAACCCAATAAGGGAAAATGTGAAATATCCCAGGGGTTTAGGGTTTAGGGTTTAGGGTTTAATGCCCCGTTAAAGGGCCGAAGCCGAGCGTCAAGATACGCCACCTCGGCCGTCTGAGAGGCACCGAGGCCGCTGCCCTTGCGTGCTGCATCTCGCGCGGCTTCATTGTGCAGGTTTTCCCAGGCCATCTTGCCTTTCCTTACTTCTCCGTTTAGGGTTTAGGGTTTAGGGTCTAGGGTTTAGGGTTTAGGGATAGCCAGAGGAAAGGCTACACTTTAGGATTCCAGCTGAGGAAGGAAACTCAAAAGGCTTGAAGTTCAACTCTTGGCCAAGCGAGTTTCCCTACGGCGCCCTCGAAGTAGAAGACGTGCAGGGTCTGCCGAAGTGCTGCGGCTCTGTCCACGTTCTTCTTCCAAACATCAAACCACTTGCCTTGCCGGCCAAAAGTGTTCCAGAAAGAAAAACTAAACCGGTTCAGGGTTTAGGGTTTAGGATTTAGGGGGCTCAAGGAGTCTCGAACAAAAAAAAGTTCAACCAAAACCATAGACACCAAACCCCAAACCCTCCTAGTCCTACACCCTGAACCTGCCCACGCCCCAGACCCTATAAACCCTGCACCAAAACCCCCAAACCCTAAACCCTAAACCCCAAACCCCAAACCCTAAACCCTAAACCCTAAACCCTGAACCCTAAACCCTACACCCTAAACCCTAAACCCTAAACCCTAAACAACACCGAAGTGGCAGCCCCATGGAGCTCTACGCCCGTTGGCCACACACAGGGACTCGGCGTCTCGCATCGCTTGTGCAACTATCCTTCGGTTGGCCCTTTAAGACCCTCCGTTTTAGGGTTTAGGGTTCAGGGTTTAGGGTTTGGGGTTTAGGGTTTAGGGTTTAGGGTTTAGGGTTTAGGCCCTTAAAGGGACTTTAATGGGAACCCCAACCAGCTAACCCCAAGACTACAGAGGGTCCCCATATGCCTTGTCTATTCCTACTCTACTCTTGGGGTTCCTGTTTGGGGTTTAGGGTTTAGGGTTTAGGGTCTAGGGTTTAGGGTTTTAGGGTCCCTTAACAATTCTCTGTCAGGGTCTAGGGTTTGGGGTTTACTGTAGGGGTTCTAGGCCCATTAACAGAAATTCGGCTCAATATGAAACATCCAAATGTGCTACCTAGAGTCACTTTCCACTCCATGTCAGTCTCACCGTGTCTGACTCGCAAAAGCTTGCCCATGGCTTTGGCATCTTCCATTTCAAAAGCTAGCGTCGTCGCATTGCAATCCATCATGTCCACAAGACGCACATATGCAGGTGCTGACATTGGTCCGTATATCTCGTGGCACCAACACTCTCCGGTCACTGGATTCGTAGCGTGTTGACCCAAGCCTGATTCAGTGTCGGTGAAGAATACGCAGGCCAAAGAGAATGCACCACTCTCCGTCACGTTCCTGACTGCGTGGTCCCACCTGTCGCCGTACTTCCCCGGGAAGGAGACGATGCAGTCTGGCGCGTTCTCGCTGATGTGTCCAGGAAAGGCTATGCGTTTGGAAGCCAGACCGTAGCCGGACAACTCCGCAAGACTACGAAGAGTTTCCAGGTCCCACTGCACTGGCCCAATCATGCCGCTGAGAAAGAGCACATTGCAGACTTGGAAAATCACATCGAGCGTCACCAGGGTCTCACGCAGTGGCGCTAGAGAGGCTAGGAAACCATGTTCGGTCCTTACTTCTCCAATCAAGGGGAAAATGGTTACCTGATTTGTTACTACTGTATTCTTCCTACGAAATGAGGAAGCCCAAAAGCGCTTGAAGTTCTCAACTATGAAGCAAACAAGATTCGTTCGTGCGAACAGACCCGCGAAGCTAAGAGCTGGGCCAAGAATTACCAGGACAGAATTGGCATAGAGGATGTATGCCGTCGACATGATGGTCGTCTCACCCTGTGCTTGCATGACAGCAGTGCTTGCTGCGCAGCACAAGGACCACACCTGTAGGGCAAGAGTGGCAAAGGTGGTGCAGAAACAGTTAAACATCGCCAGTTTGATCACGCGGGAAGGAATCTCATCGAATGGGTGCAAACGGCACGGCTTTGATGCATATCGAACTGAGAAAAGGGCAAGGGCCCCGATACCTGTTGCTGTGAGCAAGTTGCAGAGGTTGGCCGTAGCTCGCCAACCTACAGCTCGGATTTTCAGAGTGGTCATGTACACCGACAGGACGTTACACAGGACCTGCCACAGTGTAATCATCCCGTTTGCAACAAACCTTGGCGCCAGTACTTTGACCAGTCTCCCGTCGAGGGGCAAGGCAAGGCAACAAGCGGTACGAAAGCTCCAGGTGTGGAGCGGCTTCCCCTGACGGAAGAGATCCTTCTTGCAGAGGAAGACGTACATGCCCAGGCCTGTGACAATGGGCCTGAATATCGCATGAAATGCTGGGTGGGACGGCTGATGCTCGTCAGAGTCTGCATAGAGGTTGGCGACAAGGTTGGCGACAATCCGCACCAAGGTGTAACCTGCCAAAGCCATCTGGACTTGGCGATACCACACATGCTCTTCTTCCAGCCGTTGCAGATCCCTGTTGATGTCTGCCTTCGTGACAGCTCTTCTTCGCGCGAGCCGAGAGTCACGCGAACTCGTCGGCTGGAGAAATGACTGTGTAGCTGGTGCAGAAGCACCCAAGCTGGTTAGCTCCAAGCCGGCATCACCAGGAGCATGGACAGACATGGCTCAGACCTGAAAACCCTAAACCCTATAAACCCTATAAACCCTATAAACCCTATAAACCCTATAAACCCTATAAACCCTATAAACCCTATAAACCCTATAAAACCTAAACACCCTAAACTCCTACACCCAAAACCGGAAACCCTGAAGCCCATGAATGTCAACCCAACACAGCTGCGGGGAAGATCTCGGATAGCTTTCGGTCATGTCTAGAGATTTCTATGGATAACAAAAAATTAGACAAAATCACAAACTCCCATAACTAAAACTCCAATGACCTCTATAACCCCAACCTCTCTAACCCCCTACAACCCCTATAACCTCGACAACCCACACACTTAGCCCTTACAACTGCAAACCCCACAACCCTGATGGCCGCGTGATGCCCCAACTAACCCCGATAACACCCTGATGCCGCTGTGTTAACCCTGACAACTTGAGAACCCTGATAGCTGCGACAACCCTGTTGACCCCAAACCCGCATTCTGTCCAAACGACCAGACCAGCAACGGGGTTGAGGAGTTTGTCTAGACCCAGGAGTCTTGGCTGCACTCAGGAGGGTAGCTGTAAAATAAACTTTTGGCTGCCTTAATAAGAAACCCAATAAACCCCAAAAAGGTAAAGATCTAAAGTTACTGTAAAGTACCACAAAGGAGTAACCTAAGAATGACAAGGGCGCCCTTTTTGGTTAAGGGGATTCCACTCCGGGTACTAGCTTGTGGGTCAATTGGGTCTAGGCAGCCCCGAAGTCCCCCAAACTCCTCGACGTGTAGGGTGCAGGGTGTAGGGTTAAGGGGTAAAGGCTAGAGGGCAAACCCTAAAACCTAAACCCTACAAACCCCCCAAACCCTAAACCCTAAACCCTAAACCCTAAACCCTAAACCCTAAACCCTAAACCCTAAACCCTAAACCCTAAACCCTAAACCCTAAACCCTACAAACCCCCCAAACGAACCCCGAGCCTGCTGTTTTGCCACTCCGCGGGTGCCGCTCAGGCCGAAATCATCCCTAAAGACCCGAAGCCCTGAAACCTAAGGCCCTGAAGACCCGAAATCCTAGCCACCCCACAGGCCCTGAAGACCCCCTAAAAGGTCCTACAGTAGAGGCCCCAAAGGCCCTGAAGGCCACTAAGTTTAGGGTTTAGGGTTTAGTTGTTTAGTTGTTTAGTTGTTTAGGGGTTTAGGAATTTAGGGGTTGAGGGGCTTGAGGGGTTTCGGATTTAGGGCTTTAGGGGTCTAGGGTTTAAAGTCAAAGGGCCCTGTAAAGGTCCTAGAAGCCCCTTGATCAGGGCATGGTCTCCACCGGCGGAGGCTCCGCGGCCAACAGCGGCGCCTCTCCGCCTGGCGCCCTGAAAATTCGGTTTAGGGGTTTGGGGTTTAGGGTTTAGGGTTTAGGGTCTAGGGTTTAGGGGGGGGCTTGCGGGGCTCGGAGGGCTTGGAGGGTTGAGGATTTGGGGTTTGGGGGGTTTAGGGGGTACAGGGGTTTAGGGTTTGGGGTTTGTGGTTTGGGGTTTGGGGATTGGGGGTTTACGATTTGTGTTGTGTGTTATTCTGGGGTGATTGTTGGTTCAACCATGCCCTAACCCCCCCCCAACCATGGGCTTAGGGTTTAGGGGTTTAGGGTTTAGGGGCTTCGGGTTTACAAGTTTAGGGTTTGGGGTTCGAGGGGTTCTGACAGGGGCGTACCTTGGTTTTGAAGGAGGGCTTAGAGGTTTAAGGGTTTTAGGGGTTCTAGGGCTTTAGGGGCTTTAGAGCGGTGCCGAGGGCGCAACCACGCTTTGGGGATGTTAGGGTTGGGCTCTGGGATGTGGGGGACGAACTTGGAACTATGTAGGGGTTGTGGTTAGGGCTGCGGGGTTGCAAGGTATTTGGGGTTTCGGGTTTAGGGTTTAGGGTTTATATAGGGTTTGGGGGCTTTGAGACGATCTTTGAGAAGCATCATTGGGAGCTAGCTAATAATAGTTTTGAGTTTTAAGGGTGGTAGGGATCTTCTGCTCGGTCTCTTTTGGAAGAAGCTCGACAGCCTAAACCCCGAACCGTGAACCCTAGCACGCCTTGAGGCCCTAAAAGCCCCAAACCCTAACTCCGCCTAGGGCCTAGGGATTATATGGCTTGAGAACCCCCCCCCGCCCCCCGCCCAAAAAAATCCGCCGAGGCCTCGAACCGGAGATATATAGGTCACCCCCCTCCAAATCCTCCCCCACCCAAAGCCATTTAAACCGACCTCCCAAGCCCCTCCCCCCTACCCCCCCCACCCCCCCCCCCCCTCCCCCCCCCCCCCCCCCCCCCCCCCCCCCCCCCCCCCCCCCCCCCCCCCCCCCCCTCCCCCCTAACTCTCCACAGAAAAATTTGGTGAGCGGGTTTTCGAGGCTCAACTGGTTTGAGCATGGCCCAACATGCATTACACGAGCCGAAGAGTCTAAGCTTGAACCTAACCTAAACCCTGAACCTTAGACCTTAAACCTTAAGCCCGAAGCACTCAACCCTCAAACCTTCAACAAACCCCCCCCCCCTCCCCCCCTCCCCCCTTCCCCCCCGCCCGCATTCCCCCCCCACCCCCCCCTACCCCCGCTGAGGGGCCTGGCTCAACCCTTGAACCCTAAACCCAAAAAAACCCTAAACCCCAAAGCGTGAACCTTGAGCCCTAAGCCCTCAATCCTGAACTAACCCTCAACCCTAAACCCCAAACCATAAACCATAAACCCGGAACCCTAAACCCTAAACCCTAAACCCAACCCTTATTGCTTGGGGTCCAGCGACTTGGGCGCTGCGGAATCACCATGCTCACGCGGATGCGCTGGGCCGGGCCGAGGCGGGTCGCGTAGCGTTAAAATTAGAGACAGAGAGCGAGAGACAATAATCCCTATATTGCCCGAATAAGAAAGAATAATCTTCTTTTCTTGGGGAGTTCTTAAGCAAATGGTGTTCAGGATCATATCGGACATAGGATTTTGTAAGGTTTATAGGGCTCAGGGTTTGGGAGTATACCGGGTTGAGGGTTTACATAGGGTTTAGGGATCATGTAGAGGTTGAAGGTTTCGTCTTACGAGTTTTGGGGGTCCTAGGGCCCAGGCTTTGGGATTCAGGGCTTTAGGAATTGAGCTGTAGGGTTTAGGGTTTAGGGTCCAGCGTTCAGGGCTTTGGGTTTAGGAATTGAGCTGTAGGGTTTGTGGGGCTGCCCTAGGGTTGCCCTAAACCCTAAACCCTAACCCTAGACCCTAAACCCTAAACCCTAAACCGTAAACGGTAAACGCGTGCCTGGCCATGGCTGCACCGCAACATCCGGTGCGCACACCTGGGGTGTGGGGGGGCCCCAAGCCCAAGTTAACAAAGGCCAAACCTAGGGTTTAGGGTTTAGGGTTTAGGGTTTAGGGTTTAGGGTTTAGGGTTTAGGGTTTGGTCTAGGGTCTAGGGTTTAGGGCTTCGGGCTCAGGGCTTGGGGTTTAGGGTTTAGGTTCTAGGGTTTAGGGTTTGGGGTTTAGGGTTGGGGATGATCCCCCTTATAGTAGGAGTCCTGAATAGGGATTATCCGCCGACCCTGGCGGCGTGTTGGATGGGTTTGAGGAGGTGAAAACCTGTGCGGGGGGGGAGGGGGGGGGGGGGTCGGTGCACAATTTTTTCGTGGAGGACCGCGCCACCCGCACAGCGTAAACAGGCGGTTCAGCACAGGGGGGTAGGGGCGCCCTCAGCAAAATCAGCGTTTTCGGCCCCACCCCAACCCCCCCACCCACCCGACCCCCACCCCCCCCCCCCTCCCCCCCCCTACCCCCCCCACCCCCACCCACCTGTCTTTTGGCTTGAGCTTGTCCTGGTGCTACGCCCTACCCCCCCCCAAACGTTTCACAGAACTCTGCCGAGCAGGCTGGGATGATCTTCGAACCATGCGAGCGGGTTTAGACCTCTCAGCTATGCTCCAGCGGGGTCGGCGGCTTGAGCCGGAGGCTCTTAAATAATAGGGGTTCCTATAGTCCCCATTATAGGGACTGTTGGTATAAGGGGGAACATCCCAATTAATGTCACCTACGAACCCTATAAGGGATCTTATAATGTGGATCAGAACCTACAATATCGTGGTTTCGGGTTCTTATGGTGGCAGCCTTCAACCCTCAACTAGCCTAGCCCCAAGACCTCTGCAATGTTCAGCAACCTAGGACGAACAAAGGGAAACCCAAAAGCTCTCAAACAGTTTAAGGTTAGGGTTTAGGGTTTAGGGTTTAGGGTTTAGGGTTTAGGGTTTAGGGTTTAGGGTTTAGGGTTTAGGGCCTACCTAGTTTAAGGTTTAGGGAACCCTAAACACTAAACCCTAAACCCTAAACCCTAAACCCTAAACCCTAAACCCTAAACCCTAAACCCTAAACCCTAAACCCTAAACCCTAAACCCTAAACCCTAAACCCTAAACCCTACCCTAAGAGACCCATCGAGCCTGTGGCTGCATCGAGGGCCTCGGCGTGCCAGGTGACGACACCTGAGCCGGGCTTAGGGCTCGGAACCCTGGAAACCTAACCCTAAACCCCAAGCCCTAAACCTTAAACCCTAAACCCTAAACCCTAAACCCTAAACCCTAACCCCAAACCCTAAACCCTAGACCCATTTGGGGTTTGGGGGGTAGTAGCTGAGGGCTTGAGGGCTCCAGGAGTTAAATGAGGCTCCTCGCACAGTTTGAGAACTCCAGTCTCCCCATATGTAGCCCCTCCCCCCCAATAGGGTTTAGGGTTTAGGGTTTAGGGTTTAGGGTTTAGGGTTTAGGGTTTAGGGTTTAGGGTTTAGGGTTTAGGGTTTAGGGTTTAGGGTTTAGGGTTTAGGGTTGCAAAGGTTCAACCCTGAGGCTCTGGGGGGCCTCGGGGGCTTTCAGGGACTCGGGGATCTAGGGTTTTCGGCTTGAACGTTCAAAGTGTTCGTCTCTAGGGTCGAGGGTCTTGGGGTTTAGGGTTTAGGGTTTAGGGTTTAGGGTTTAGGGTTTAGGGTTTAGGGTTTAGGTCTTAGGGTTTAGGGAAGTGTTCG